ATCCTAGCTATCTTATAAATGTCCTTCTCCCCCTCCTTCGTGCCTAGGCGCTGATAAAGGTCATCATAGGCCTGACCCTTCGCTACACTCACGGCACGCTTTGCAGCCCTTCTCGCTATTTTATAGCTCCCAATGTTGGTTGCACTCTTGTCGAGGTGGAGACGCTTGAAACACTCTTTCTTCTCTTGAATAGCCCTTTGCACCTCGTCATTCCACCACCAAGTGTCTTTCGCATCCTGCTTGCCTCCCCTACTCACACCAAGTACTTCTGCAGCCACCTTCCGTACACATGTTGCCATCTTTAGCCACATGTCATCTGCATCTTCTCCTTCTTCCCAAGGCCCCTCGTCTAGCATCCTATCCCTAAACGTCTGCGCCACTTTCCCTTTAAGCTTCCACCACTTCGTTCTCACGGTCTTGGCACATTTATCCCTGTGGACACGTACTCAGAATCGAAAGTCCGTCACCACCAGCTTATGCTGGGGGACAACACACTCCCCAGGTATCACCTTGCAATCTACGCAAGCGCGTCTATCCTCCCTCCTTGCAAGGATAAAGTCGATCTGACTTGAGTGACGTCCACTATGGAAGGTCACTAGGTGAGATTCCCTCTTCTTAAAGAGGGTGTTCGCTATCAGCAAGTCGTAGGCCAACGCAAAGTCCAACACACCCTCCCCCTCTTCATTCCTACTACCATACCCAAATCCTCCATGCACTCTCTTGAAACCTATATTAGTCGCGCCCACATGTTCGTTGAGGTCTCCTCCTACGAAGAGCTTCTCGCTGGCAGGCACCGTACTGACCAAGGTGTCCAGATCTTCCCAGAATTGCCTCTTGGCGCTCTCACTAAGACCTACCTGGGGGGCATAGGCACTGATCACATTCATGGTCACATCCCCAACTACCAATCAGACTAGGATAATCCGATCGCCTTGCCTCCTAACATCTACAACTCCATCCTTAAGGCTCCTATCGATCAGGATGCCTACACCATTCCTACTCGATGAAGCCCCAGTGAACCAAAGCTTGAAGCCAGTATCCTCCACTTCCTTCGCCTTCTGCCCCTTCCATTTAGTCTTCTGGACGCATAGGATATTAACACGCCTCCTAATAGCTGCATCGACTAGCTCACGTAGCTTACCCGTTAGGGACCCTACGTTCCAACTACCTATCCGGACCCTAGTTGGTTCGACTAGCTTCCTTTCCCTTCGCACCCGTCGAGAGAGATGCGAAGACCCTTGCTCATTTTCCACTACACCCGGGCGCCGATGTAGCGCGACACTAAGGAAATGACGACCCGGTCCTTGCTCACTTAACACCATGCCCAAACCACGAGATGACGCGTCCTTGAGGGGGAGACGACCCGGCTCTTGCCCATTTGACGCCATACCCGGTTTCCGATATGGCGCGTCGCTAAGAGGGTTACGCCCCAACGAATATCTATTGTGTTTCATCTCCATTGAATGGCTAGGTTTTACGTTGCCTCGCCAAGCCTATCACTACCCTTCTCCTTTACCAAGACTTGGGACCTGCTATGTTGAGACAACATAGGCGGAGTTTCGACC